ATGAGAGCATTTTAATGAGCAGCATGCAGTTTTTAAAATAATTGTTAATATTTGGCAGAGAAGGTGGGAAACGATTCTAAGCTTAAAAGTACACTTGTTTGGGTGCACAGGCCTGGGGGGAATGGCTTCAGTTGAAAATATAGATCTGTTTTCCACACACACCTAATGGGGGAAATATTTCCTGGCAGACCGCGCAGGTCTCAGGCAGGCATGCCTACTCTGTCAAATCTTATTATCAAGGCTCTCTACCTATATTACAGAATTGGTGCTGTATCCTCTCTAATGAAGGGATTATTTTAAGGCCATGTGCATTTCAGCAGGAGTAAGAGCCTTGCATTGAGAGAGGCATCTGTAACGAGGGGTTTTTAATCAGGATACATTATTAATGAAGTGCACAGGAGACACACAAACCTGCTTTATTAGGCTAACTGTAAATGAGCGCATTCGGTAAGAACGTGCAAAATGTGTGTGTGCTGAGAGAGGCTATTTTGAGAATTTAACTCATTTCTGAGTAGTAAAGGCATCCAGGCTGGCTGTAATTGGTGCCTGTGGCAATTGTTGATACCCTGACTACATTAGCTTTCCTTGCCCTTTAGCGGAATTGGGAAAACATTTCTAGTACTCGTTAAGCTGTCTATTATCAAGACATCATAAATATACACGTTTAGAATGGATCGTTTTCTATCCCAGTGCCTTAGAGCACTTAAATAAATTAGTTCCTACTATTTCAAGTATTAATGTTGCGGTAATTATGCATGAAGCAATAATGCAATTAAAACTGCCTTCCAAGTTGCTCAAGTGGGAATATTTTTAGAAAATAATACTTGATCTTTTCTCAAAATACACTCCAGAGCAGGTGGATGGGCTGTGTGGCTCACGGTAATGGCAGTGCGAGACTGTTTTACTCAGGATCCTCCATTGCCTGCAGCTCAAGTCAATATTAACCAAGTATTACCAGCTGTTGGCTTTTGTTGACCTCTGGAAGGAGGCAGCAGTCTGATTTTATTTTTTTTTTCCTCCTCTCTTTTTTTTTTTCCTTCTCTAGTGGCAAAATGCCCACATCACAGCTGGCACAGAGTGCTCCAGCAGCAGGGGGTTCATATTTAAACAATGCAGCCACACTTCAAGGTGGGAAATATGGGCTGTTGTTCAGTTTGCTACATGTTCCACTTCCTTTATGTACAATGCCTACTGCTTTCAGATCTTTGCAATATCAGCTATAATAAGTTGCAGTAAAATATCAGCTCAGCTTTCAGCCTTAGGTCTAAATTTCTTTACATTTAAATTGGACCTCTTGTTCCTTGGGAGAAAAATACATATCTTGTCGCTGAGTTACAAGTAAGCTTTTCCAGCTTTTTGGCAGTCAGGTAATAGTTAAAGGGAAAAGATTTCTTTTTTTCCAGCCAGAAAAGCAGTTTAATGACTTTGGATCCGTGTGTTCATAGCAGCACTGTAGCTGCCCTGCAAACCCCTGGAGCTTGGCAAGCCCAGCAGACTTGGCAGGTTTTCCTGCCAGCTTACCAAGTCTGAGTCAAGCATGGGTTGTTACAATTTCGAATCTATTTAGAATATTTTGTTAACGGGAATATTGAGGTGGAGGGCTTTTTCCTTTGCTGACCTTAAAGAATACCATCCTCTCTGCAAACAGCTACTGCTTAAACTACATGTACCAATTTATGACTTGTGCTAAATGCAAAATAAGTGTGTATTTTATGCAGAGTATATGATTTGTTGCTCTTGACATGAAGGTACTAAGGAAGTGCACAACATTCTTTCCGTTGTTTGGCGTTGGATAATGTGAAGGTCTGGTGGAGACGAGCATAGCTGTTACTTTCCAGTTTTCTTTTTGAGAGCACAGTGCAGGCTGGTGTGGGGAGGAATGGGGAATGAACTCGCTTCTAGTTTTCACCTGTATGGATCCTGCCAAAAGGAAAACAAGTTCAGAATTTGAAATTGGTGTATGTTTATGTTGCTGACAGTTAGTTCTTGCCCAGCAAAATCATAGCAGTCCTGAAATAAGAACAGTGCTTTTCTGCAGAAAATTCATACAAGGTTAAAGCAAAGTTCAGAAGACTAAAGATTGTGGCACTTAAATACTTCATTGCCACAGACAGAAACATCCACCTCGTTATTCTTCTACTGTGACTGACGGATCTCTGGGGCTTTTAGCATGGTCTTAAATGAATTCTGCATCACCCAGTTGTGGTAGGATAGCTACTTTCTTAGTTAGAAGAAATGGGCTTGTGGAGAGGATATCTTTCACTCATACTTCCAACAGTCCTTCTACTGCTTTGTAAGACACTTTAATAGCTTGGCTTTCTCCAAGTTTTACATAATTGTATATTCACTTCATTACTGCTAATATTTTTTATGGGAAATGTGAATGAAATATAATAGCTTTGCCTGGTTTGGGGCTCATTTCCTATCTATGAGCCAGCTACAGCAAGTCTCACTGCTTTATTTCACCCACCCAATGGAAAATCAAGGATGTCTGTTGCTAGAGGACTACCTATAAGAGGCTTCATACAACAGTGATATCCAAAGAACCATGAGCCAGTGTCATGAAAGGCCTCAGTGTTCATCACTAATCCTCAGAAGTTCTGTTTTGCCTGGTGCCTAGAAGACTGAGCAGAACATGGGCTGAGGTTGCCAGATAGGCAGACAGGCTTTTGGTTTGTGAGCTACTTAAGTTTCTCACATTGGTCCATTTATTCATCACAGAATCATAGAATGGCCTGGGTTGAAAAGGACCACAAAGATCATCGAGTTTCAACCCCCTGCTATGTGCAGGGTCACCAACCACCGGACCAGGCTGCCCAGAGCCACGTCCAGCCTGGCCTTGAATGCCTCCAGGGATGGGGCATCCACATCCTCCTTGGCAACCTGTTCCAGTGCATCACCACCCTCTGTGTGAAAAACTTCCTCCTAATATCTAACCTAAACCTCCCCTGTCTCAGTTTAAGACCATTCCCCCTTGTCCTATTACTATCCACCCTTGTAAAGTTGTTCTCCCTCCTGTTTATATGCTCCTTTCAAATATTGGAGGGCCACAATGATGTCTCCCAAGCTCATTCATGCTTGCAGTAAACTGCAAGAGGCCTGGGTGATCACTGCTAAATATTGAGGAGGAAGCTTGTCTGAAGCTCAGATTCTTGCCAAGAGAAGCTGCTCTCAAGTTCCTTACCTGCAAGCCCCGAAAGACTTGCTGTTTCCCAAGACCTTTCATAGCTTTCATTTAAATAACTGAGGTATGCAGTTTGTTACAACTCCCCACATTTGAGTGAGAATGGTCAGCATGCTGCTTTGGGACATTAGTTGGGCCCCGAGAGTGGTGACCACTCCATGTACTGGTGGTAGAAGTAAAAATGATGAAAAAAGGTTGGAGTGTAAAATTATGTTTTTTTTCAATCCTTTTCTCTCGACAGACTTGGAGGGATGAAGACTTAAACTTATTTAATTCAAATTCATGTATGATTGACAATGTGAATATTAGAGGAAATTGAATTTTAGGAATTAGGTATGCATTTTTGTGGTTTATGCAAGACTGATGTATTTCAACTAACTGGAAATAGAATGCAACTGATGGATCTTTTCAATCTTGTCAATATTTAAATCTTCCCTTAAGTTGCCTCTGTCTCATGCTGAAGAGTCCCAGTCTACTTAGATACCAGATTCATGAAAGCATTTGCAGGTCTTGATGCAGTCTTCTTACCTTCTATTACTTGATTATTCTATTCCCCTTTTTGAGATAGAGCACAGGAGAGAACAAATGGTATGCAGTTATATAACTCCTATCTGAGTTATTTTGCTCAGCCACTTCTATTGTACAAATTACAAACGAACCAGAGAATAAATGGTGCTGGCAGGAGAGTGCTGCGGCATCACTGATAGAACAGTGCCATGGACTGTCAGGCAATGAAATGTAAAATAGCAAAGTAAACATAAGATAAAATATGTTAAAAACTGGTGGTGCTTGAACTGTAATTTTCAACTAAATGTTGTGGTACAAAGGCTGAGCTCAAATGGGCTTTACAAATGAACTTTGAAAGGGACAGTAATCACAGATTCAGAGTGCTCCTTTGACAGATAAATGATCACAGATTCACATCCCTTGGGAAAAAGCAATACTTTCCCTTCTTCTTTCCTTAGCCTTTCAGTGCCCAACTCAGCGTTCCAACTTAGTAAAGCATTTCTTATTTTAAAAAGCTGCTTCAAAAGTAGAATTAAGCAAGTAGGTCCACATAAATTCTGGAAAGAATTGACTTACACAGTGCTGCATATAGCATTCTTCTGTCATTATGGTGTTAGAGTCATCTCAGAAGGGAGCTCAGAAGCCACCCAGTCCAGCCCTTGACTTAAAGCAGGCTCACAGGGCTGAGTTTGAGCCATGTTGCTCAGGGTTCTTCAGCTGTATTTCACAGACTTGTGAAAAGATGGAAACTTAACAGAATCTTTGGGCAACTTCTTCCATTGTTTAATTCTTAATTTATGTTTATTAAATAACAATTACTATCATGCAAACAATAACATTATAGTAACGTAATTGAATCAGTACCTCTAATTTTGGGTGTGTAACTAAAACAGAACACAAGCCAAACAGAGCATCCATCACAAAACAGCTAACATGAAAATTCTGATATTTGGCTCTGATGGAAAGTAGGTGGAAAGATGGCTCGAAGCCATGTTATTTTGCCTGTAGTAAGACTTCAGAAATATTTTGAGGCCATTTCTTCTTTTGAGAGTAACAATTCGTATACAGTAAATTGTTCCATCACCTGTATATTTTATTTTAAACAAGCAGTTCCTTGGCAATATTTAAAATCTTAAGATTTTGAAAGAGAATAACTTCCTGGCACTGCTGATAATTATTTTTAAAGCATGACAAGCAGCTGTCTCCAGATGGTGGTCTGTGTTCCATATCCTCCTCCTCTACTGTAGATGGAAACATTTACTGCAGTAGTAATCTGAAGCTTCTTGTAACCTGTCTTTCTTTGTTTCAGCTTTGGTTTGCTTTCGTTAATGGATTCTCTGGGCAGATTTTATTTGAGCGATGGTGCATTGGTCTGTATAATGTGGTAAGTGCTACATGTTTTGAATTGGTGTTGCTTGGGATGTGTGTTAGTGTGCTCTGTCCCATTTCTCCTAGGAAACAATCTAAGTGTATGCCAGGAAAGGTGAATTCATTTGTAAAAGCCATTTTGATCTACCCTGAGCTATAGAAAGCGAAACACATTGAATGCTGTTTTTAATCACAAAAATAAATTTTGAGAAATAAATTTTGAAAAATGCCCTTAATGCATAAGTGCTTAGCCTAGTATAACTTCAATAAAACTGGAGCTTTTAGATGTAGTTTAATTTTCTCTTTGAAAGCATCTTTGGTCTCCTGTACTGAGATATTTTACTGACTGCTAACGTTCAAAATAGACCTTAGCCTTTGTGTTTTTATTTTCTTACCTTTTCATAATATGTTGTCGTCTCAGTGATTCTGATCCATGCAAAAACATATTGAAGCATTTACTGATATATAATTAGTAAATACAGAAGAGTTCCTCTCAGATCTTGTAAGAATTAGATGCTCAGTGAAGCATCGTGCACTCTGTACTGAGTCAGTACAGAACTGGAAGCAGCACACTGTGTAACCAGTATTCCTCACCTTCACCAAGTGTAGGATGTGTTGGTCTGGGAGTGCTTTCAGCTTTTAGCTCTGCTTTTCAGGGCCCCACACTGTATTGTGTTTTTATCACTCTAATCAATAACTTTAATCTGATTAAAGCCTGGAAGATCTCTGGGGCCATGTTTTGCTGCATGCCATTGGCCTGTGCTGGTCTTTTTAATAGAGTGTAATGTTACTGATGGCTGGATTCATAAGCTACTAGGACACTTTGTCAGTGTTGAAAAATCCTTTGCATTTCTCTTCAGAGGGAAGAAATTAATTATTTTTTTTTTTTTAAATCAGACTCTTTCTAAATATATGGAAATACAGAAAAAGCCAGCAAATTATCTCTATCACCGAGTAGTATTAATGGAAACACTTCTGTCACATTTCTCTAATCTTAAAAATGATGGCACAAACCCTCATATGCTCTAAGATTTCATACTCTCCATGGAAGGCATTAATTCAGGGATTTTCCACTTCCTCTTCACCCTTATTTCTTGACTGTTGCACAGTCCGTCATTCATGGTTAGATATTTGCATCTATTATCTTTAAACCTGGTTTGATGGATCTACCTACCCTACATTTAAAGCTCATGGATGAGGCTCATCTTAGAGAATCAGTGGAGTATAAATTAATACTTGTTTCATAAGGCCACTATTTTCTAAATGTAGAACTGGTCCCAGAGAATCACAGAGAATCAAATGCTAGTGGGGTGTTAAGGGCTTCCACAGTTTAAAGAGGTTAGGTTTTTAAACGGAGTTTAACTCTTCTGTTCTTTTCTATGTTAATTAACCCTCTGTTACATGCAGTCTCATTGAAATGCTAAGTGTGGGAAATCTTGCTACAGCACTTTTGGAATCATAGATTCATTTGAATCGAAAGGGACCCTTAAAGACCACCTCGTCCAGCTCCCCCGCAGTGAGCAGGCACATCTACAGCTAGGTCAGGTGTATAGTGGTTTGTGCTGATTCATATAATAGGATTCGTGTTAGGGCTGCAGAGAATGGCCTCAAACTGTGCTGGAGAAGTTCTGTTAGATATTAAGAAAAATTTCGTCTCTGAACGAGTGGTGAGGTGCTGGAATGTGCTGCCCAGGGAGGTGGTGGAGTCACCCCTCCCTGGGGGTGTTTAAGAAACGTTTAGATGTGATACAAAGGGACATGTTTTAGTGGGGAAATCATGGTGGATGGTTGGGCTGGATGATCTTGGAGGTGCAACCTTGGTGATTCTATGAGCTTCCTTGCAAATTAGAAACAAACAAACAAACAAAAGAAACCCAAACCACCTCTCCAACAGTGTCTTGATTGAATTGGGAAGTGTCGCAAGAATCATTAAAAAAAAATAGGGAATTATCTTAAAGGTATATGAGAAAGTGTCTTGTTCTGGACTATGTGGGACTAGTGGTCTTAGTTCTAGCTCTGCCCACCAATAGTTTAACGATCTGATTTATTACTCTCTGAGCAAAAGAAGTTAGGTCCAGGAATGGAACAATTGCTTTTTGCTGATGTCTGGTCCTCCTTGTTGCCTTTTGTCTGCTTTCCAAACTGCCAGCTCCTTGGTGGTGGGAAAGAGCCCAGTTTTCACCAAATTGAAACACATGCTAGAGACCAGTTCTTAACCTGAAACTGCTAACTGAACTCTCCTCAAACTGTTAAAAAAAAAAAAAACCTGTTAAAAATCTGTTAGAAATTAATTTTCAGATGCAAACAGTGTAAAATTACGTGGCTAAAGTTTAGCCTTGGTGACATTTTCACTGTGTGACAACAGACAGTAAGAAACATGCATCCCTGAGGTGGCTTTAAATGCACTGCCTCGGATCCTGGAAACACTTGAAGAATGATGTGGGACCCAGTAGAGGCTGACTTGCTGTGATTGTGGCAGGGTTCTGCTGCCTTTCCTGGAAAATTTCTGAGTCTTGGTTATCTCCAAGCAGTCAGAAGTAGGGACACACAGAATGGTTAACTTGTTCAGGACATAACTGGCTGGAGAATTCCTGAAGTACTACAGCAGAGAATTGACATTGTTTTTCAGTGTATTTTTAATGTGACATTCACATTTGTTGTGTTCTCAAACTTAGCTTTGGTTAATCATATTGCATATTTAATTATGTCTACAACATGCCTATGGCTGTATTTGAACCCATTCCTTCAAGGCTTTTTTGAAAAAGTACGTTCTGTCTTTCCTTTGCACTCTGGTGAGGCCTACCCTCCCCAGATGAGCTGCTGCATCAGAAACTGCTGAGGGCTAACTTCTTCAATGTAAGCTGCTTGGGTAGTAGCACCGCTTTTCATTTATGCTTCTTTTCTTTGTAAGTCAGTATTTGAGAGTTACACGTTTCTGAAATTCATGCATGGATTTGTTTGGGCATCTGAAAATTATGTCAACACACCAGTTGGTAATGCATCTTCAATGAAGTGTCTGGGAATTTTGCTGTTGACTACATACTGAAATATTATCAGGGATCCACTTAAAACTCAGAGCCGTTTTTAATGAGCATTTGCTTGCTTTGCAGATTTTCACAGCATTGCCACCCTTCACTCTGGGAATCTTTGAACGATCGTGTACTCAAGATAGCATGCTTAGATTTCCACAGCTATACAAAATTACTCAGAATGCAGATGGGTTCAACACAAGGGTAAGGGAACAATCATCTGTTTCTTTAAGAACAACATGAACATTTTGATTTTCCAGGTCTATTTCATCACAACATAACTTACTCCCCACTGTCACTTCTGTTTTATACTACGATACTGCAACAAGATTGTTGTTTTCAAAGGGATTGTGTTTCGTTTTAAAAAAGGACAACAACAAAACAAACAGTTTGTTTTCAAGTGAGGATTTTCAGAAGTGGCTTCAACTGAAACTTGTCCTGAAATATCTGTGAACAGTGATTTCCAGAAATCATTTGTATCTGAATATGATCTTTTAATTCACACCTACTAAAAAATGGTTATCTTACCATTCTTGTAGAAACTGAGTGACTTCATCCACATTTATTTAATACAGAGGTTGTCATAACACTTCCTTCTGGAGAGCTTTTTCACCGTTAATCTGTTCCTCTCTATTATTAGAGAAAATAAAAATCAAAAAGTAAAAATTGATTTATTTTGACTTTAACTTTTGAAAAATGTACTTTATTTCATTTTGCTATTTTACATGCCAGAAAATGCCAGCACTGGAATTCTATGTTTATTCCATAACAGGCACATTTAAACGTACTTCTGAGTCAGGGCGGCTGTAAGACTGCTTTGATTAGAGAGGAGGAAGAATTTTGTTGAGCACATAAAGCTCTACTTTGTGCAAGGCTGCTCTATCTGTAAGTTTAAGAATTGCAGAGCATAGAAAGTGTTTGCCCATTAAAAGAAAATAGAACACTTCATGGTATAGAACCAGTCTTTTAAAATCTTTCTTTGAGATAATTAAAGAAAGGTGACTCCATCTGTCTGCTGTATTTTGATAAAGATCTTAAGTTGCAAGTCTGCTTGCCTGTTACATTTTAACTGGATAGAACAAAGTTGCCCAACTGGACCAGTGTTTTCTTGTGACAGAGCAGAAATTGTAGGAGGAAATGGATCTTAGGAAAGTTTAGGTATTTCACTTCAGGAAAAATATCGTCTGACTCTAAACTACACAATGAAGCATTTGTTGGGAGTTAGAGAGAGGTCAAGAGTTTTGGACTTTACTGATGACTTGGTTTGTTTTCCCTCAGGTTTTCTGGGGTCACTGCATCAATGCCCTGATCCATTCCATCATTCTCTTCTGGTTTCCACTGAAAGTACTGGAGCATGGTAACAGCTTCATTATTTCTTACGCCAGTAACTGATGTTCAGTCTTACAGAGCCAATGTGTTTGCAGAATTGGAGGTTGTAACAAGTTCTAAGGAAATAATGCTGACAGTTCAGTACACTCTAGTTGCTGTTCTTGGCCAGTTATCTGGCGGCTTCCTGAGTTTATTCCTATTTAACTTTATTATTGTTCATGCAATGATGTTAATACTTAAGAAATTAAACTACTGTTTAGCCAAAGTCTTACTCAAACACTAAAAAGTTCTGTACAACACCTGATTTTTTTTCAGTGATGTGTTTGGACTTCAAATTTTTACTGTTTTTGCAGTGGTTGTTAAAGCAGCTGGTAGCTGTATTACAAGCTTTTGTTTTATCTTTCTGGATCTCTCCCATTCCATAATGCAGTACTGTAAAATATAAAGTGAAAGAACGAGATTTCACTATCACTGAAGTCTGTGGTAGAAGTGAATTGCCTGGATTGGAAAAGATTGGATTGGGAGTCAGATATTAGGAAAACAAGACTTTTTTTGTATGAACCAAGTTTACTAAGACTTGCTTTCTTTGAAATATAGTGCAACTGCACAGTATTTCAGGGAACAGTAAATCCCATGCAGTTCCTACTTAGATTTGTTATATAATTGTGTGGGCAGAGAAAACATGGGAAGTTCATTTTACTGTATTAAGAAACGGGACAAAATCAGATGCGGAATTTGGGGGAAGTATTTATCAAAACATGAGTTTTTCAAAACAAACATCTGGAAACACACTTCAGCTTGAGGATGGATTAACTGGAGAGAAGGTAAAAGAAAAGGAAGGGAAGATGAATGCTCACATCAAAGGCGCATGATGGTGGAGATATGGAGGAGGGAGATTCATGTTTCTCTTTACCTGGTTCAGTAAAACTTCAGTGTCATATCCTCAGTGACAACTTCACACAGTGTGTGACAGACCATACAAGAAGGAGACCTCCCTTTCCTCTGTGGGCTGAGAGCTCTGTTTCAGTGTAGGGGGAGAGAAGTTGTTTTTGTTTCGTTGGTCTTTGTTTTGCTTTGGGGAGTCTGGGTTGTTCTGTTTCACTATTTTTATGGGAAATGTTAATCTTGAATAGCTCCTCTTTAAATCCAACTTAAAATGTTCTGGGCTGATTTCTGTGATAGTTGCAGGCTATGCTTTTTGTTTCAGTCTTCCATAAATACTTTTCTGACTATTCAGTTCCTAAGTAGATAATACACTTTTGCTTTAGACAGCTGGAATGGTAAGACTGAAATAGTCACCTGCTCACATGGTAACTTTCTTTCTCAGATAATTTCAATAGGTTGCTTAGCTTGCTTTCTGAAGAGGAACGAATATTGAATTTTCAAGTTTCTCTGTATTTCTAAGTAAAAGAAAAGAAATGCCAGTGTCATACACAAAAGTGCACCATGTTCACCAGGATGTTTTTCAACCTCTCGAGTTCCTTAGAATCTGAAGTGCACGTGTTCAGTGAGCACATATTTCTAAAGCCATGCAAGTGTCCATTCACTAAACATCTGTCTGTTCTCGTTAACAGAAATATCATTCCTTTCAGGACTGCTTAGCCTGAAGTGGAAGGTTATGGAAAACTCTGGAAAAAAAATTTCAGTACATTGACACATTGCAGTGTAACTTTTAAAATATATATATATATATATTTTTGCAGCAAATTTTACTCCATTACTTAAATGTGCACTGTGGTGTGCTAGAGCAATATACTGTCAGAGTCATTAGATGAGTTTATTATAGAGCTGTCAAAACAGGTAAGTTTTTAGGCATCCCTCTTTGTCGATAAACAGACGTTAGGCATCACCAGGGTTTATGGGATGTGGAAGGCTCCATTCTCTCATGCTCTTCGCCTTTTTTGTTGATACTAGAGCAAAGAGGCTGCTAAAACTTTGTGTATTTGTGAATGATACGATAAATTTCTGAGGCCACAGAGTACCAGGAGAAAAAATGGGCTGATAGAGATGCCTGTGAAGACCAAACCTATTGCTGAGCAAACTGGATCAGGTTTTTAATCTTGTTCTGCTGTTTGTGATTAGTATATCTGGTGCTGTTTCATAGTAGATTGGGTTCAAAATGGAAAGAAAAGCCACAATATAGAATTGGTGACTTCTGGAAGATATTCAGAATCTGCCAGTTGTTCGGAGAAAAACACATGCAGCAATTATAGAAGCAAACCGTCACGAGAAACTTGGACAGCTGTACTGTCTGAACCTTTTTTCCCATGCTCTGGACAGAGTCTTTACCAGAGGTCATGCTGTCAAGGGCTCTTCTCTGTAGACTTCAAGATCCAGGAGACATGCTTTACAGGAACATAGTTAACTGAGTAGGTGACCCTGGTTTTACAATGTCAGATCCAGTTTTGCAAATAAACCTAGCTAAGTGGCAACCTCATAGTAGAAGCACTGTACTAGGCAGTATGTGTTTAGGAACAAGTCCAAGGGTTTTATCTTAAGCCTTTTTCATCCCTGCTGTTTGTGTATTTCTTTAGCAGTTGTCTTAAAACCTGTGAAAATACCAGTACTTACCATGCTTGTGTAATGCTTGAAAGTTCCTGTGAGTATGAGTTCATCTGGCATTAGCATAGCTGTTGAGTGTGCTTTCGTGGTGTTCCGGTTTTATTCAGCATGGGCTAAGAAAGACTAAACAGACATCTGAAGCACTGCCAAGGTTGGCACTTGCAAGTGATAGATTAACATGTACTTACCCTCCTGTGCACTTGTCTAAGAGAAAGCATGCGGAGGGACTGAATGCTGCTCAGTTACTGAATTAACCTCCAGTGAGGTATTTTAGATATTAAATGTATTTTTAAGAGGAAGCTGCAAAAGATCAATCTACATAGGCAACTTTGCTTCAGCACAGATCAAGTCATGTATAGGCTTTATTCACAGTGTAATTTGTTAGAGCAGTCAATAAGCAGCACAGAGCAGATAGTCACAGAAGTGATGCCGACCTACCTCAGCTCTTAGAGACAAATTGCACATTAGTGCCTGGCAAAAGTTTCCCTTCTGCTAACGGCTTCTGGCAAGCAGGGCTGTATATATACACTCTATCTGAGCATTCTGTCTTGTTTAGCACAACTGGTGCATTACCAGTAGCTCACAGCTTCTAAAAGTGCTCTTTGACATTCCAAAAGACAAGTTTGGAACAAGTTACTGTCTAGCCTCCTCAAAATCTCCTCGATGCTGCTTCTGCTCTGTTGATAAACTGGTTAACAAATGTGACAATTCTTCTTTTTCAGATGCAGTATTCACAAACGGGCAGGGAATCGACTATTTATTTGTTGGAAACATAGTTTACACTGTAAGTTTATGTATCCAAGACATTTTTTGAATGGTCATTTTTTTACGCTGTCAGAAAATTATGTAAATCGGAAGGAAGTTTAAGTGAAGTCAGACCTATGTTGTGAGCCTGATTTTTTTGCCTACTTTCACTGTTTTTACACATGGACCAACAGTATCTTCTGCTGTGTCCATCCCCCACCCCATTCTGCCAAGGCTGCAGGAGGTGGGTTGGTACTTAGATGGTACTTCCATTTTTAGGTGTTAAAGGGAGATCGGGCTGTGAACACCTCCAAATTTGAGAGTGCTGATACTGAAGCTGTCTTATGTCTTTTTCCTTTACAGTACGTTGTAGTCACTGTTTGCCTAAAAGCTGGCTTGGAAACAACTGCGTGGACTAGAGTAAGTATCCTTCATTAGCTTTTATTTTATTAGCATACGTTTTTCCCTGATGAGCATTAATACAGAAAAGTAGTACTAAAAATCATTTGAGGCTGCAATATTTTAATTGCATCTTTTATTTAAGGATAAACTAAGTTCCATAACTATAGGAGAGGAGAATGAATGCGCTCTAAAGATGTGATAAAAAAAGAGCATCCTATCAGAAGTAAGAATTCTAATTCTAAAAGAATTTTACCAACATTTTTAAATATTGAAAATTCAGAAAAAGATGCTAGAAATTTGCATAAGAACATCTTTTTACTCTGTAGCTCCTTCAAAATTAATGCAGTATTGAATGATGTCTGCCCACAGGTAAACAAATGGCTTTTGCAGAGTTCTTTGAAGCTAGTAAAAAGCACTGGTGACTTCAGATTGGTTGAGAATGTTTGTTTGGAAACTTTCAGCAATAAATAAGGGATGTTAGTCAAACAGTTGTGTTGATTCCTAGATGTGAGTCATTTACATGCAGTGAGTGAATGCTCTGTTATTGGTAGGTGTCAGAATCTGCCAGGGCAGTGACCTCCAAAGAATATGGGGGGTGGGAGGGTTCCTGTGTTGATGGAGCTCCAGCACTTTTCTTCCTTTGTCTAAACCTCATGAAATCACAAATACTGTGAGTTTGGTGGAGTCCCTGTTTCTCCACGGCCGTATGAGATGCCTTATAGAAATACTGTTTTCATCATATTCTAAGACGCAGTGCCCTTGAGACTAAGCTGTTTTGAGGAGCCCCGTATTCTTCTTCTATCAGTTTTCTGGAGGGACTTGGCTAAATCTCATAACCTCTTTCCTCCTATTAGTTGTAAAATGTTTCCTTTCGTTCCTCACAGAGGAATTGTTAAGATTAATGAGCTGATGTCTGCTCTGAATTTTAAAGATGAAATACTATCTGTATGGGCTATGTAGTTATTAGGGAAATGCTAATGCTTTCTGCCTCATTCACTCATCAGAAAATAAAATGGGGTCTTTTTTGTTGTTGTTTATGCACAGGTTCTGTGTTGTGTACTAATATTTTAAAATGCAAAAGCAGTTAGAAACAAATTAATCCCCTGTGCACTGAAAGATGACTTATTTAAATCTGCAGTGGAGGCACATAGCCCGTTTAGATCCTGTTATGTTTGAATTATTTGATGCTTCCTCCTCTCTCCCCTTCCCTGGCTAAGTGGTGACTTTTCAGTCACCTGGGAATAATAATGATTTCCCCTTTCTTAACTTCATTTAAAAAGATATCATAATTTTTAGTAGATCTCAATGTTCTTGAACAGTGGCATTCTATACAGGAAGTTATTGTTCTACAACAGAAAAATGTTTGTATCTATCAGTTTTTTTTTCAATATATACTCTAATGCCTATCCCACTGCTCAGACCAAGTGATTCTCATCATCTTGGAATCTGATATTACAATTATTATTTCAGCTGTGAGTGAATCAACAAACAAAGAATCTTTAGGTTACCTGAAGAGTATTAAATGTACAACATTGAGTTAAGCCTCTTCTCCATCATCGGCTGGATTGGTTACATGCAATTTGCTCTTCAGAGCGAGGGACACTGCCACTTGGGAGACATCTTGGGTTCAGCTGAAAGCTTTAAAATAAGAAACACAGATTCAGTTTTGCTGAGGGGCTGATAAACCCAGTAGGCAGTGTGGAAAGAAAGGCGTTGGTAAAAGCAGTAACATGACAAAGAAAGAAATCTGCCCATTAGGGCTGTGTGGGGCAACTTTCTCTTCATGTTGCCTGTATACATCATTGCAGCAGGCTTTTCCAAAACACAGCTTTCTTCAGAGCTTTACCATACTGCTTAAACTGCTTCAGATAAATTGGATGCACAAGACGTGCAGTGTTGTTTTTTTTTAATGTATGAGCACTATATTTCATCTTCTGTTATTTAACACGTCTGACAAATTTGCTTCTTCTGCTTTGACATGAGTTCTTCAGCAGTAAATGATAAATCAGTGGAAAATTATCAGTTAGGAAAATTATCAGAGGTTGGGTCAGTGTTTAAGAAACAGTCTCCAGCAGGACAAGGAGAGTTCTTTCAAAAAGCAGAGAAAGGTAGAGAACTAATGCAAATAAATACAAACCTGATATTGGTGAAGGGAGGTGCTTGCTGAAAGATGATTGGGACAGCCATGAGAAGATGATGAAAACAAAATGAGCAAAGACTTTACAAAGCTTTGCAAGGGCAAGATTAAGGACTGCAGAACTCAAGAACTGCCCTGCCAGCAGAACGGAAAGAACCAAGACAGAAGATTCACTACCATAAATACACTAGGAATAGGAATGTGTCTTTGAGTGGTTTCTCTGCTTACTTTTATCTTTACAGCTTTTAATTCTAAAGCCTGTAGGAGTCTGCAGTTTGGAAGTACCAGTCCAGGCCACCCTGGCTCTTCCGTCCGCTTGTTTGGGATGGAAGGCTGTGGCTCAGAGGAAGCTGTCATCTACTTTTGGGAGAGCAGGGCTGGTGCTGTTCTCCTGCCACTGCTTGGGAATGGCTTCTTTTTAAATGAATTCCTGCAGCAACCCCACAGCACTCTTCAGTGGAGCTGAACACCACAGTTGCTTGTTGTGGCAGGGCTCTATTCTGGTCAGAATATTGGCATGAAATGTCCTTTGTTTTCAGAACAGCAAGCAAATCAAATGAACTAAATTGCCTCAACTTCCCCCAGATTCAAAAAAATAAAATCTCCTAGTCTCTTTTTTATTTATTTCATAATCATAGAAACCTTAGAGTTGGAAGGGACCTTTAAAGGTCATCTAGACCAATTCCCCTGCAATGAACAGGGATCGGGTTTTATTCACCTTAAAACTGGATCAAAATAACTTTTCCAGCTGCTGGTCAGGTCTCCTGGGTGAAACAAGTAAATAGAAAAGTCTGAAAACAAACCTTCCTGCCCACAGTGTCTCTCCTGGGGGAGCCCACCCCACGTCCTGCTTGCTTGCCCAGCCTCCTTAGGGGTTGAACAAAACTCTGACTTTCTGAGGGTGCCTGGAAGAGCATTCTTTCCATCACCTCTGAAGTTTTGCTGTATGAATGCTCCTTCTGTATGCTGTCTCCAGTTGCTTCCAGCTATCTGCCAGTCTGCACTGGTTCTGCAGGCTCCCTACTTGTTTCCTCTACTTCTGCTCAAGAAAGCTCTCCTTTCTGAAGATGCTCAGTACTTCCAGGGAAGGAGCAGTCTTCTCCCTCTAGAAGTTTCAGTCTCACAACAGACAGAATGCAGTGCCTACCGTTAGGCACTTTGATTCTCAGACACTGTTTGAAAAAGAAAAAACAAGTCAACATATACAGTAATCAAATACAAAGTATAAATCTGAGAACTAAACAAACATACTGTGTATCCACTACAGCCCCCAGTGAATGAATTCATTGCCATGTTTCTAAGGCCGTATGTATGTAGTAATTAAGATTTATGCAGGTACTTCTCTGAGTTGCAGCCAAAGTCATCAGCCGCAGGGGTTGTTGGCATCCAAAAAAGCTGGAGCCAATAGTGAGCTCAGTTGCGTGTTACAACCAAAATTACTGATTCCATCCACTGCACTGTAAAAGTAAAACAACTTAAATCATCTTGAACAGCAAAATAGTTCGGGTGTGTAGGAGAAATGACTTTCCTTAATGCAACTGAAATGAACTGTGTGCTGGACGTGTTCTTGGTCACTTTGATACTGCTTTCATTTACTCTTAGTCTGCAGATTAAAGAATCAGTAAAGACATAAACCATATTGCATATCCATAAATCACTTAGAACACTTTTAGAGTAGTAAAGGAAAGCTAATCAGTAGATCAGTAGTTGATGGTTTAAGCAGTGGTATCACAACACTGAACCTTCTTCAGTGGAAGGTGTGTGGTGCACATGGATGCGTGCATGCACTCTGACATGAAGGATTTGTCAGTACGAACTTTAACCTGTGCCTTTGAAAAATTCTACCTTGATGTATGTGTTGAACCTGGCATGTGTACAGTGGGAACCAGGAGCTAGATGAGAGAAATCAGGGCTCTAAGGAAAATCTGATGAGTTTTTGGAGCTCCGAGTAAGACAGATTGGCTGGGAAGACTGACTGCCGGCTCTGTTGTGAGGCAGAGATTAAAGAGGAGGCTGTTTTATGCTGTTTAAACAACCTGTGCTACTGGCCTGAGACCAAGGGCAGTAGACAGGCCTGAGTGAGGCTGATAGAAACCTGACCAGAAAAATAACTGCTGAGGTAGCTGGGAGGTGCGCTGTGCTGACTCTCCTCTCCCTGCTCCTTGACAGTTCAGTCATCTGGCCGTCTGGGGAAGCATGCTGCTCTGGCTCGTCTTCTTTGGTGTCTACTCAGCCATCTGGCCCACAATCCCCATCGCACCCGACATGCTGGGGCAGGTCAGTATGAAGGCTTGGTAGCGCAGTGGTGCTCAGCCCGCACATGCGCAAGAGGCTTGTAAAGGATTGTATGCTACTAAGAGTGCTTGCACTTAACGTTTCTTAAAGCTCTGCGTTCATTTACCTGAATCTCCTCATTAGAAGAACTCTTTCTCCCTGAAGATGACATCATACGCAATCATAGGCACTGCAGAATCAACATGACAAGTCTCACTTCACTCAAATAGCTCTGAAATTAGCTCTTTGATTAATGCTTTCCTAGTTAGACTATCTTTTACAAAACTCCCGGTACAAATCTAGTTTTTGCTCTAGATCTGTGGAGTTTTCTCTCTTCCATGTATTTTGGTGTCATATTTTTCCCTCTCCCCTGCATTTGTTCAGAATGAATCGGAATTGACTTGAGAACAGCATGAGATGGTCAGAGGCAGAAGGGAAGCTGACCTGTTAATGGTCCCTCTATAACGCCACTGGAATGTTGGATTTGTTCCTTCAGTGTCAGCTGAGTTCCAGGTGGTGAAATTTTTCCCTTTGGTGTCATTATTTCAAACTGTGGTGAGCACAGTGAGTCACAAGCCTGTAAAAATCACTCAAAAGCCTTGTGAATATTTAAAATAGAGGGCTTCAAGGAACAATGAAGAATTTAAAAATATATGGTAAAAAAAATATTCTGTAGAGTGGAACTGTGTCAAACTGACCCACAACGCGAGTTTTGCATAAGAGTTGCCTTTAAAGAAAGGGTGCTGTTTATGATGGATTATGTTTATGATACAGAAAGAAAAAAAAACTGGAGTTTTAATGAAGAGTTGGAGTGTATTTAACTCAGCTCATCCTTGTGTAGCAGAAAATAATAGTTAAAATAATCAAAGTTTGAAGAAAGCAAATAGAGATTTTTGAATTTACTCTCATTTACACTCAACAAGAACAGTCTGGCATCATCGTGTTACTAACAAAATGCATATTGTATAATTGCTGATAAAGCACTGGAGATAACAGAGGCTGTTGTAGGCATTCACAGACAGCTTTTTGCAGCAGATTGTGACAGGCTGGGATCAGCAGGTAAGTGGCTGACAGACAAAACCTAACTTTTTGGATAGCATTTCTTGGTGTCATCTCTGTGTTTCATAGCACATACCACAATAGCAGCTGTAGTTCATACATTTATGTATCAGGCAGAAATTTGACTGAGTATCACATGGTGCCATTAAATGTTTGTCCTTCACAGCAGATTAGAGTGCTGCCCCAAACAAAAAGATTTACATTAATTAAGTTCTGGTTTTGCTCGGATATATTTCAAAAATATGTTTTTGAATTTAAAGTTTGAATGGATTTTCTGACATCATGACTTGGGAAATGGTACTAATGTCTTGCAAAGTGTGTGTATATCTATGTAAATATGTGTATATGTTTTGCATATTATGTTTTTGACGCTGTATTCTGATGCGTTGTTGGATTTTCCTTGATGTCGTAAAATCAAGGAAGGTTTCTAAGGTAAAAGGAACTTGCTTACCACTTGCATTAACTTGTCCAAAAGCTTGTGAGTCATCAGATGCTGTCATAATAGCAGCTTAAGGTGAAATGTGCTGTGATCATTCTGGGTTGCCTTGCTTCTTCCCAAACTTAAGGTATTCGTTGCTCCTGCTTTCTGTCTTTCTGCATTTGCAAGTAATCAAGATATCATAAAAGTAAAATGAGATGATGAAAAAAATTTGTTTTTTTAAATATCTTTTTTTGTGTGTGTGTTTATTAAATGAACCAAATTCCAGAAGCTGTTAGGTATTTATTTTATGCAAATGCAATAGCACTTTTGATGGGAGCTGTTCTAACTACTGTACTCATCTGGCATCTGTGCCAGCCAGGACTTTGTGCCGTGAGTAAAAGGCCTAGGATGTGCAAAACACTTTATTTTGCCCATTCATCAGATGTCAGCATGAAGCCTTGCAGATATTTAATGATGTGAAAAGATGTTTAGTTTCTGCTGGGATTTACTGAACCATTTTTACAAAGTATTTCTTTCTTCTGGCTATTGTATCTTGAACATTGTCATGGAGAAAATACTACCTTTTTTTTTCCCTCCTGAAGGACAAGCAACTTAGTTTTTCTCTTCTGTCAGAGTCTACGTATTTCTTCTCTGTCCACCATACAACTTCCTAATAGAATGCATGTAATGCAATAAAACAAATACGTGATAAAAATGTCGATAGTCCCTAAGAGAAGTTTCCAAGAACAAGACATCTGGTACTTTGGAAATAAACTTTGGTTGTTTTGGGGATACCTTTTCAGATATACAAATATAGTTGGCTTTAGTAGGATCTGTAGAAATAAATCAAGACGAAGTCATTCCTCACATAGGTGACTTTCCTGAATCCTTTTGTTTTTTGGTTGTTTTTTTTTGGTGTGTTTTTTTTTTTTGAGGAGTTATTCTTGTGTTTTCAGAGGACAGTGACCTGAGGACACCCAGTGCCAATTTGTTCTTGCCTTTGAAGCCAGGATGCTTCCATGGGAGCTGTGCCCCAAAGAGAACAGTGAGCAATAACATTTGTGCTCACTTCTTGCATATGTCATACAGGTGTGTGCGCGAAATGCTGCTCATCTGTTCTTCAGTGTGTTTCCTCATAGGAATTGCAGCTTACTTTGGGTTTATGAGAACAGTGTTACACTGTACAGATCAAAGTCTGTATGTGAATATATCCGCCCATGCACGTACACAGCTACTTGGATCTGAAGGCATTTGTAATGTACATGTATGTAAGAGAACATGTATGAAAGTGATCAAGCTTTGATTCTTGATCCAGACATTATCTAAAGCAAAGAGGAACAAATCTCTTCCTTCCCCACCCCAGGGTCAAATGCGGTACTTTGGGTGTTATAGGGGAGGGGTGTTCCTGCCAACCTCCTGGAAACTTCTGGTATTGGCTCTGGATGAAGCAGGGCTTAAGATGTGAGTTTTGCTATCTGTTTCCATACTGTGATGTAATCGTGTTTTGTCTTTGTCTCAGTAGTTGTTACCATTAATGAAATGTTTCCAGGAAAATTAGGACTACCCTTTTGGCCTTGAGGAGAGAGGGTAAAAAGAATGTTTTTGAAATCTGTTTTTGAGAGAGTCACAGATGGTGGTTAATCCACGGTGCAAGTTAGAAATGTCTAGATTTTTATATTTTTGCTTTGTGTTATATGTGGTCTTAGCTCAGAACTGGGATTTGGAGTTTGGAACACACCTTGCTGTCAGAGCAGCATTCAAAGGACCTTCCTCACGTGAGCCTTCCAGCCCCACCACAGCAAGAGAATGTTGCAGTTGGAGCTGCTGCACTTTCCATTTTCTTTTGTTTGACTGCTCTTGAGAATAAATGGTTGTTCCATCAGCTCTGCTTCTGTGGAGTGTAAGCAGCTGAACGTAGGAGCCACTCTAATGCTTTCCTAGTTCTAATCCTTTATGGAAGACTTTTTTTTTCTTCTTTTCTTTTCTTGTTTTGTTTTGTTTCCAGCTGAGTTGTCAAATTCTTGCTAGGTTATCTGATTATTTACTTAGAGTTTAAGAAGGCTGTGCATCATTTTTGCCAGGCTGCTGTCTGAAGGATCCCAGCAGTGGAGGTGTCTGTTTGATCCTATTTAATGTGTCAGTAGCAGTACTTACTCAAAGCAGTGGTTCATCAAAGAAAACATCTTCCTCTTGTAGCAAAGCTGCTGCTTCTTTTCTGTTTGTATGTCATTAGCATGACAGATCCACCTTAGCTCTTGCAGCACATATTTGACTTTGGAAGGCAATGTAGAAGATTTCATTTATGCTGCGTGCACGGCTGGTTTTGTGCTGACCTTTAGTCTGAAACTCTTTTAAATCTTGCTGATTGAGTTGTTGCCAGAGCCTTTGAGAAACATGCATGGGAAGAGTTGAACAACACAAGACCAAGAAACAGCAACAACAAAAAGCTGGAGATTAGATACTAATCATTTTTTCGACATAATAAACAGGTTTCACATTACAACCTTCTCAAATCTGTACTGAAATACAGCTCAGCATACATTTCCATGCCTTCCAGAATATTTCTGGCTTTTTTTCTCTACACTTGTTTTTTTTTTTCCAGAGGTTTCAGTTGTTTTCTCTTTGGCTTCTCATATTTCCACAGTGTTTGGAGCTAGTTAGAAAATTGGCTGCTTTGATTGTGGTTTGTCTGCAATCAGTTGCACATTACATTGTGGTGTCAGTGTTTTGTTCTGTGGAAATTCTTCATTCAGCTGTTAGTCAAAAATCAGACTTCGTCTGCAAATTGAGGTTCTTAATGCCTGCTGATCAAGTTTGTTTTTATTATTATGCACAGTGGTCTCCATGGCACTTGATGTGGTTTTGGAACTTTTCTGCCGTTTTGGACTAGGCTCCAAGTAGACAAATTAGACTAATGAAGCATGCGTATATTTTCAAGCATCTGTTGAAGGAGTGAATTTGTTGTTTTTATGATCCACACATGGCTTTCAGAAATGAATCTGTCATTTTTAGGTCCCTGGTGTGTTCTGTATCATATACCAAAAAGAGACCAAAAAAAAAAAAAAGAAAAAAAAAAAAAAAAAAGAGATGGATGAAATAAATATTTTTACTTACTTCCGAATGTGAAATCTGGGGATTAAACATGCTTACTTTCTGGAGGTTAACTCCCCCAAACATGCCACTTTACCTACTTGGCAACTCTGCGACAAATCTGTCCTAGATATTTGTCAAAGGTACCCCTGAGTTCTTTCTCCTTCGAAAGTAATGCAGCTGTGCCTGGTGCTGTGTTGGCCTTTCCTTATAGAGCCATGCGAAAATAGGGTTAAGCCATGAACTCATTCTGGTTCTGGAAGTGGCAGTGCATGTCAGGGCAGTCAGCTGGCCTTGAAGTTTCTCTTGGTTGATCACGTGTGCATCTTTCCTACGCGGTTTGTTCCTGCACAGTAGTGGCTAGTGAGCTGCTACATCGCATGGAAGAACAGGAAAGTGACTGTAGGTAAACTGCTACTCACAGATTGCACAG